CCACTTCTGCTCTCCCCCCTCCCCCTCCCCCCCCCAGCCCCGGGGAACGTGCTGCCCCCCCGCCGGGCCGGAGAGAGGGACAGACTGACGCGCAGCAGCCACTCCCCGTCTCCCCTGCACCGCTGTAGCGCGCTTCTCCGCCGTGCGGTCGAGATAAGCAGTTTTGATCCAACAACATTCCTGGGCGTCCCTTGCAGCGCCTAGTTAATTCTGTCCCACAGCACCGTTGCCCAGGGCCGTTCGGGAACGTGCTGCCCCCCCGCCGGGCCGGAGAGAGGGACAGACTGACGCGCAGCAGCCACTCCCCGTCTCCCCTGCACCGCTGTAGCGCGCTTCTCCGCCGTGCGGTCGAGATAAGCAGTTTTGATCCAACAACATTCCTGGGCGTCCCTTGCAGCGCCTAGTTAATTCTGTCCCACAGCACCGTTGCCCAGGGCCGTTCTTCAGAGGGATGGGGGGGTCCTACGCAGTAAGCTGATGTCCCTATGCCCAATGGCAGGGGAGGGGTTACGATTTTTTTTGGAGATATGATTTTATATACCTGTCTTGGCAAATTTAATTACCTCTTGAATGGCTCTTTCACAATTTCAATGTTCTGCTAATAAGTCAAACTGGCTTTTTCACTTTTAAGTTAACTAGATCCTCTCCAGAGAACAGAGCCATAGAACAGGGATAGGAAGAAGCAGGTGGGTGGACATTAAAAACCAGTGGTTCCCAAATGTTCGGGTGCCTTACACAACTGTGTATCCTTGTATGGATAAGCATGGCTCTGTGATTATCCTCACAACTTGTAGGTTCAAGGTTATTATCTCTCCGACCTCCACTAATCTGTGCTCCTCACCTTGAAGTCTGCATGAGATCTCTTTCTCCGCCTTCCCATACAAAGACAATTCTATTGCCAGTTATTGCAGGTGGTGCTTCAGAACCAAGAGGTTTTATACCTGTTTAATAGAGATGTTAGATATCATGTTATTGAATAGTTGTGTTACTGCATACAGTATTATTGGTTATATGATATTTGATAGTCCCTCAGGGCAGAGCTGGCAGCCAGTGTGCTCCAGCCTCACTCCCAGGAAGCCCCCTGACACCTCATGCTACTGCCTCTCTATCAGAGGGAGAAGCAGCATTGGGTGGCATGCAGAAGCTGGTCTGCAAGGGGAGCCAGTTTAAAAAACAGTTCCCCTCACAGACCGGCTGCCTGACACCTTACTGGGAGAGAGTGTGTGTAGTTGATCACATGCAAGAGAACATGCATGATCTACCATTTAGGCTGGAAGTAAGTGTGTAATGCACAGGAGAGAGAACTCACCAACAAACTTCCAGTCTGGAAATAGCCCCATTCTACAGACACAGATGCCTACTACATATTGCACAAGTAGCAATATGTGCTCACTACCATCTGCTTAGAAATGTCACCCTGACACATACAAGGCAGCTCGCTCTTACTTGTTCTGGAAATAGCCCTTTCCCCATGATCCTGATATAGAGGGTTCATGGCCACCATTATCTGGTCCGGAAATACCTGTACCACACATACCTAAGAATGAGAACGTTTCCATTGTATTGTATCATGGAGCTTCTTCACACACCCACACAAATGCAAGAGAATACATGCACTCTGCTGTCTAGCGTGGAGGCATATTACTTGCACTAACCTCACATCTATCCTAAACCAACCCTAAAAGACACCATTGGTTTACTTTGTTTTTGTTCACTTAGCTTAATCCATGAAATGAGTGTGTGCTTCCTTTTGTTCACTCAGCTTAGTCCATAAGCTCAGAGTGTGCTCCCTTTGCTTCCATGTCATCCCAAGAGAGCATGCCTTCATATCATCACCTGCCTTCCAAGAAACCCTTCTCAGGAAAGCACACCCATGTTGACAAACTGTAATTTAAACAATAAGGTTGTATCTACACTGGCACCCTTTTCCATAAATGGGATGCTAATGAGACACTTCGGAATTGCAAATTCCGCGGGGGATTTAAATATCCCCCGCGGCATTTGCATGAACATGGCTGCCGCTTTTTTCCGGCTCGGGGTTTTGCTGGAGAAAAGCGCCAGTCTAGACGGGATCTTGCGGAAAAGGGCTTATTTTCCGCAAAATCCCGTCTAGACTGGCACTTTTCTCCGGCAAAACCCCGAGCCGGAAAAAAGCAGCAGCCATGTTCATGCAAATGCCGCGGGGGATATTTAAATCCCCCGCGGAATTTGCAATTCCGAAGTGTCTCATTAGCATCCCTTTTACGGAAAAGGGTGCCAGTATAGACACAGCCTAAGGCTATGTCTATGCTGGTGGCTTCTTGGGCAACATCTGTTTTGCAGAAGAATTCTTGTGCAAAAAGTCTTCCACAAGAGCGCGTCTACACTGGCATGTGCTTTTGCGCAAGAGCATCTATGGCAGTATGGATGCTCTCTTGTGCAAGAAAGCTCTGATGGCCATTTTACCCATAGGAGTTTCTTGTGCAAGAAATTCATGTTGCCTGTCTACACTGTAGCCTAAGTGTATAATCCTGCTGCTTTGATACCATCTTGCAGGATCCCCACTCTTGAAGCTGAGAATCAAGAATGTGCATTCTTCATTAATTGTAATTTTAAAGAAAATATGTTCTGTTTATGTACATATGTATAAAGATTAATGTAAACTTCCTGCAGAGAATCCCCAAAACATAAAGATATTTCAGAAACTCAGATTCTCGCTTCAGAAAATTGTGACATTCTGTCTCATGGAAACTCAGACATTCTGAATTTTTTTCTTTTGAAACAAACCCGCCCCCCCCAAAAAAAACCTCAACTCAACCTCAAGAAAAAAAAAAATTCATGATTTAATTCAAATTTTATTCAGATGTAGGATAAGAGGCTAATGCAAGATAGTTCTGGCATATTTAAATTTTATGTTAATAACTTTTGGATAACTAATTTGTTAACAGTTCTTAATTATGTATTGCAACATTTTAAAGTTTGTAACATTTTTAAATGATTTAATGCAAAATATTAATCAAAAAAGAAAGGAAAGTAGGAAAATGACCTCAAGATACCAAATACAAAAGGTATGTACTAAATGAAAAGCTATAAATCTGATTCATAATATAAAAACAGTTGGGAAAAAAACAAATTTAAAACTGCTAACCTACTTTTTAACAAAATAAATAATTTTACGGAACTCAGCTGCAACATATTGCTTGTAAGAGCTTATGCAGATTTAAGAATAGGCATTGATGAGACCATAGTTACAGTAGGCAGAATGACAAATGTTAGAGATTGGCTTATACTCTAAAACATGAGGCTTTAAATTCCTTCAAAAATATTTTCTCCCAATTACTGGTGATTATAGGATGTAGAATAACAGACAACACACAGTCACACAACTATATTTAATGTAAGCACCATGCAGAAGTCTTCTTTAAGGAGGACTTAAACGTGGACTCAGTAGGGTCTTTGCAAGTGAACTCAGAGAGATTGTACCATGGAGTATTAAATAACACTGGTAAAAACACCTGTATTCTGTCTATGATAGTTTTCTCTAGAACATGTAGGCTGCGTCTAGATTGGCATGATTTTCCAGAAATGCTTTTAAGGGAAAAGTTTTCCGTTAAAAGCATTTTTGGAACAGAGCGTCTAGATTGGCACGGATGCTTTTCTGCAAAAGCATCCGTGCCAATCTAAACATGGTTTTCCGCAAAAAAGCCCCGATCGCCATTTTCATGATCGGGGCTTTTTTGCAGAAAACAAATCTGAGCTGTCTACACTGGCC